GCTGTCAAGTACAAATACAGACTGTGGAGCATAATGTACAATGTTTGTAAGAAAAACTGCAATACTCACAAAAGTACAACTTTATCAAGATTTCTAAGTATTTTAGTAGATGTACTTAATTGAAAGTTTTTGAAAAAGTTTTCATTTAAATAAATAAATTTGTCCAGTAAAAATATATATTAAAAAAAACCGCCAAGTTTTTTATATGGAAACATGAGATTGCTCACTACAGCCTTTCTGTGCCCTTCTGGATGTGGCACATCTATCGATACCCTACACAGACAAATGCAAGACTGCATCAGGTCTCTGGTGTGGTTTAAAGCTTTGTGTTTACCTTTTCATTAATTCAAGTGTGTGTGTGTGTGCGGACAGTAAAGTTTTGATAGACTGCTACTATTGACTTGACCACAGCCACTCACTCTATTGTCACAGTGAAAAGAAAAAACAGAGGCTACTTTTGGTTTCCAGTTGAGCAACTTGGTCCAACGTATCTTCTCTGTGAGGCTGTAGTGGTGGTGTGTGTGAGGTGGTATCACAGTGAGACCCTCAGTACTGAGCGACACAAGTGTTAATCCTTGGCAAAAAAAACAACAACAAAAAAAGCAGCAATCGGAAAATAAACCAGAGCACAACCGAGAAATGACACCATCTCTCTTTCATTTTGCATACATTGCATTTTGCCACAGGTGCCTGCAACACCAAGTCTATTTTTCACACTCTTTGTCTCTGTTGAAGAATTACTAAGAATTGAACCGTGGGCGCCAGGAAGGCAGATACTGCCAACGGTGTCTCGAAGGTGTGTGGTGAAACTGAACAGAAAACACCTCATCGCCACGTTTCCTTTGTGAGATGGCAACCTTTTTGGTTAACAAGAAGCAGTTTGACTCAGGCTGTAGCAATCCACATCATGACGCCTTTAATTGTGATCCTAAAGTTAGCGAGGGGGGATTTATATCGCAACAATGACATACGCTGACTGTTCTTAGTCTGATTCTGCTAAAGCCTCACTCGCTATCCATAAATATGAGGGAGGTTTTTTTTAGGTCACAACATAAAATGAAAACAAAGAGATTTGGGATTTGTCCATCTGTATTATATAACGCTGTTGAAAGCACCAACGAAACAGTGCAGTACAAAGAAAGCGTTAGATGCCCGTCAGCATTCCCGGGTTCACAAAACATCGGATTCATCTCGTCTGGGCACTTTTGGCATCAGCGGAAATGTTGGGAGCCGGGACCCTACGGTTTGAATGCTGAGTCACGCACATGAAATGTGGCAGGTGTTGCGAGGTACTAGGAAGGTCCAAAGTGGTTCTGAACAGATGCCTCGATTATTAGTGTGGAGTCTATGATAGCCAGGTGTAAGTGGAGTGCGGGCAGGTTTCCAGTCCACTGCTTACCTGTGCTGAGAAGCAGGAGGACCTTCATGGAGAGGAACTCATCGTAGGTTAGCTGCAATCGCACAAACTCCTGGCTCACCTGCCTCATGCCCAGACACAGGTCGTACATGGCCGACTGCTGCATGCGCTCCCTGAAGAGAGACAGGCAGAAAAATAAAGAAATTAATAACTAGCAACTGTGTCAGTGTTCTGTTACACTCCTTTCCCCAGTACAGGCTCACATTTATTCTCAGTTCATTCACTGGTTATTTCTATTTATTTATTTATTTATTTTTGTCGATACTAACTCACTAACAGGCTTCCTCGCTCTGTTCCTACCAAAACTAGTTCAGTCCAGTGAAACAGTGTTTCCACACAGTGCAGAGGAGGATCCTTCCAGTCTGGGCTAAGACCAGAATACCAAATCCCCCCAGATTGCAGATTGCAGAGCGCTGCGAACGGTCTCACAGCACAGATGCACCAGTTTTCCAAAGCTGCGGCAGACTACAGCAGACCCCGTATCTAACCCCAATCCCCATAAAAAAAACCCCACACATTTGAAAAATTGTGTGTAATTCCAAACACATCCATGTTGGCAGAAATGGCACACATAAACATATGTTAAGTACGTATGTGCATGCTTACCAATCAGCATCAGTGCCTGTGCACCGGAGTGTCAAAAATACACCAGTTGCGTTGATTTGTCTCACTCCCCTTCTCTTTCACACACATTTTATCGCTAAAATCATCTTGGGTACATTACACAACTCTCTCTCTCTCTCACACACACACACACACACACACACACACACACACACACACACACACACACACACACACACACACACACACGCACACACACAAAGAAACGGGACAAAAAAACAGGAAAGCAAGAAACACTTGAAGAGATAAAGCACAAGCCAATCAGAAACACTCTCTGCAGATGCCACAGATTCTCTGGCTTTGGATGCCACTTCACTCTGCTATAAATCACCACCGCATCAGGACTACAGTAATTAAATGCAAGTGGTGCGCCTTGACTTGAAAGAGGTTGGACTTTTAACCACAATGCAGTGACACCACATCATTACAGAGGCAGCGCGGGCGGAGACTTATTCTGATAACAACTACATGTAATATTTTGTAGAGGGGACCGGGAGCAGCCGATTGGAAATGGGTGCATAATATTCCCATTAAAGCGCAAAAAAAAAAAAAAAGACACGCAACGCCTTTATAGTATTTACTGTGCAGCTGTCGGCTTCGCTAAGTAACTGATAAACTGTGACGTCTGAGCACGCCCGCTTCCCCGCTGTGCAGCGCCGTGTATGTGAGCAGTTTCGCGAAGTGCGGTGTAATATCATTTGATACAACTTTGGGCTGGAGTTTCTAAAGTCTCCACACGTTTTCTCTATCGCTACCTCTCTCTCGCGCGCGCTCACTCACTCCCTTCCTGAAATCAATTTTGCTGAATCACTGCCCAAAATGAGCGCCTGGTTTTGGGGAGGGAAGAAGCAGAAGAAGAAGAAGAAGGAGAAGAAAAAAGAAGACAGCAGCAATCTCTCTCCTTCCCTCTTGCTTTCCAATTTCTCTGTGTCTCTGTGTGTCTGTCTTCTTCCTTTTCTTTCTCTGTTTCTAAGGCAAAAAAGGAAGAAGCACAAGACTGAGGAGAAAGGAGAGTTCAGAGTCTCCTTCAGCTACGAGAAGCTCCCAAAAATATATTCGCTCACAAGAGAAGGACAAAGGAAATCATTTAGAATTGAAATGAAATCACAATTAGTGTTCTCTTTTTTCAAACTGTCAAATATCAATGTCAACATAATTCCTCAAAAACTTTGTTAATATAATTTAAAAGTTCACAAAAGGGCCTTTGCAGATGCATCACAAGGGCTCATTGGGAGGACTCTTATATGTGTTTGACTGACAGCTGAGCAGCCACGGGATCAGTGGCGCAGTTTAAATAACGCTGTACCACTGGCTACAGTTCTACACACTAAGGACGGACAATGAGTCGTTAACACTTGATAACAGAGAATAAAGAGAAGTTTAGATCAGCTGTTTGACTTTAGGTATGTTTTTGAGCAGTTAAACTGTTCGCCTGTGTGCAAAATTTAAATTCAAATGAAAGTAACAAGTTAGATAAATAGAAAGGAAACAAAAAATATAATATGGTAACGGATAGATTATATAGCACTGTTTTACTCTATTTGAGATGTGCTTTATGCGACATGTCACAGTTATCCATTCACACAAGCACTTTTTTAAATTTTAATCTAAGTGCTTTATATCGAACATTCACACTCTGAAGAACAGATCAGGAGCAACACGGGTAACTCAGTATTTTGCCCAAAGACACTTTATCATGCAGACTGGAGCAACCAGGTATTGAACCACCAACCTTCTATGCTCTACCTCCCGAGCCACAGCCACCTCATATATTAACAGCTATAAGCAGAATAATTTTTATACATCTATGATGCATGCAGTTTCCACATTTTTACAAAGTAAAAGCAACTGTTTGCACTCTATCATTATAATGTTTGAATCTAGGGCAATTGATTTGATCTGACTCGGGAATTTACTGATAATAATGGACAAAATTTGACAGATGTACATAGCTTTTAATGTAAAATGAACATCCATGCTTGCTGTATTTAGACTCAATTGCAGACAGCTAAGTGAGGGGACAGGGTGCTCAATAAACGCTTTAATGCCCTAGGCCAATGAGCACTTTGTTGCTATAGAAACAAGTGGACACCGTCCTCTGCCCTGAAGACTGACCGGAGCTCGAAAAGTTATGGACAAACTGTGTACCCATATTTGACCTCAAAACAACAACAACAACAAACACGCACAAACACCTTCGCTCAGAAAGACTCAACGGGGATGGCAGTGACATCCAGGCTGCCCTGATAGAGCAGCAAGCATGTGACCAACATCCAGGCCACCACCAACAGCCAGTCTACATCTCCTCTGCTCTGTCAAGCTTAATACCAGGCGCATCTGTCAAAGGGAAGGGCTGCTGTATAGAAACCAACACAGCAACTGCAAAGTATATATATACATATTTATATATAAATGATTAATAATCATTCATTATACTCGTGCTATTAG